GGCAGCTTATCTTCCTTCGCTCGACGAATTCTCATCAACTACAGGTGAGAACTTGTAATCAAGGACTGTTTCGTTTCAGGATTTGGGTTAATGTAGTAATAATTATCGATGTTTATGTATCTGTTTAGGTTCTGTGGCAAGAGATGATAGTAAGAAGGTGGTCTTGAAGGGTATGAGCTATGTTTCGCTCCAAGTACGTTGTTTCAATTCTCAGTCTTAAGGAAATGCATTTTCCATACTTGTTTCGATCATTAGGGAACAAATGTTAAGGAATTTTGGTCAATTTTGGAACAAATGTAGGAATGGGTTGAATCGCATGGGTTTCGACCAGGTCAGGCTTTGATGCTGTGGAAGAGATTATACAAGGACAACATATGGGCGCATGATATTGATGGACTTGAAGGTTTGTCTACTGATATGTACTTTGTTCAGAAGATTTTGTGGTTCAGAAATGCCGATTGATTCCCATTTTATGTGTCCATTCGTATAGGCCTGAACAAAGATTTCAAGAGAATGATCAGTGAACATGCTGAGTTTGGGGCTTTATCTGTGAAGGATATTCGTTCGGCTTCAGATGGAACTAGGAAGGTGAATAGAGAACGTTTCTTGTTCATATATATAGTTTAAAAGTGTTCCAAAATCTATATTTTCTGATGCCGGGATGATGTAGAAGAGTCACTTGACTGCACAGCGGATATATCTGAATGAGTTTTGGGGAATCTTCTCATTGATTCATAACCCGCAGGATGTTGCAGATTCTGTTCACGTTGGATGATGGACTTGTGATCGAAACAGTTGTTATACCTTGTGATCGTGGCAGGACAACAGTTTGTGTTTCGAGCCAAGTGGGTTGTGCCATGAATTGTCAGTTCTGCTTCACTGGCAGGTAAGCCAGAATGAAGATAACCTCTGAGCCAATTTCTCAGTTTTCGATATCTGGTGTAATGTATGTAGTTTACCTGCTTTCACAGGATGGGCTTGAAGAGAAATCTCACGGCTGCTGAGATAGTTGAGCAGGCTGTTTACGCCAGGCGATTGCTTTCCCAAGAAGTTGGATCAATAACAAATGTCGTATTTATGGTATGCATGTTTGCTAGACAAAAAAGTAGCCAATAGCCAACGCATATTTTGTGGCATTAAACCTATTTGGGTCACATTTAAGGTCTATGGTTTCTTCAGTTTCTCATGGAGCTGGATTTGTTTGTAGGGAATGGGAGAGCCATTTCACAACATTGATAATGTCATCAAAGCTGCAAACATAATGGTAGACGAGAATGGACTTCACTTCAGTCCCCGCAAGGTCACAGTCTCGACCAGTGGCCTTGTTCCTCAGCTGAAGCGTTTTCTCCGTGAGTCAAATTGCGCTTTGGCAGTCAGTCTGAATGCAACAACCGATGAGGTTCTTTTCTTTTCACTCGTCTCTTTAAATTAGTCATCATTTCCTTAGGTATGATCTGACCTCAGTGAACGCTAACTGTGCAGGTCAGAAACTGGATCATGCCCATCAACAGGAAATACAAGTTATCGATGCTCCTTGAGACGCTCAGAGAAGAACTCAGTTCAAGGCACAAATACAAAGTATTGTTTGAATACGTGATGCTCGCAGGAGTGAATGACAGGTAAGTGAAATCATCACTAGAGATCACTGTTAAGCACGCTTTCTGCAATTTCAAGTCTCCTCCGCTAAAATGGTTCAATTCTGAAACCATAATGAACTAGAAACCCTCTGATTGTGCAGCATGGATGATGCAAGGAGGCTAGTGGAGCTTGTGCAGGGGATTCCATGCAAGATCAACCTTATTCAATTCAACCCAAATAGTGGTTCTCAGTTCATACAGACCGAGGAAAACAAGATGATCGAGTTTCGTAACATTTTGGCTGAAGGAGGCTGCACCGTTTTAATGCGGTTTAGTCGAGGCAATGATCAAATGGCGGCCTGTGGGCAGCTTGGCATGCTTGGGACGGTTCAGGCACCAGTGATGCGGGTGCCTGAGCAGTTCCGCACAGCTCTAAGAGCATCACCTTGATCTGTCAGATTAGGACAAAAAACTAAATCTTGACCATGTTGCAACATTGATTTGATGTCAATTTTTGTTATTCTCAGAGGGCCTTTAACTAAAAGATTTTTTGAAAAGTGGAAACTAAATATGAAATGAAAATTTTTTTTTATGCAATTTCTAACGAAGATACTACAATTAGAAGATGTAGAGTGGAGTGCAATTTGAACCTAGTGATTATGGAGGCTATTTGAATTCAAGTTTCGACCAAAATAATACTTTCATCTTAATGTCTATACAAAAAAAAAAACTTAAAACACTGTTAGAGCATTGAGCAATGTCTTGATTTGGATGCAGCATTGTCATCAGATGACTTTTGTTCTATACAGGTTTGGTCTGTCTGATCATTGTGGCTATCTGTCTGGTTACCCACACGGAATAAATCAATGAGCGTGTTTCGAATTTTGATCCTCAGAGCAGAGGCTTCATCCGGTCTAAACCATTTCTTATCGAACTGTATGAATTGAAACACACATAAGTTAATACAAGAGCAAGGAGATATATGACTTGGTATTAGGAATATGGTCTGAGATAACTCACCATTCCAAGGTCTTTCCTTTTCAGCCTTTGAGGTGCCTCTTCGATGAACCGTTTAATGAAGAAGAGAACAAATGGACCACAGTCGAAATCATTCTTCTGTTGCGGAACCTGGTTGCACAAAGAAATATCATAAGATGAATGATCTTCTTGGGAGGTTCTATTTTCTAAATACTCAGAATCCAGAAGAAACCGTTCTTACGAAGTTCCTTGAATCATGGGACTAAGAAATTAAAAGTCTGACCTGTATATCAGCTTCGCTAATCCTACGAGGGAGGTTTCTCCATATTTTTTCTGAGACTGGTAAATCCAGGGAATAATCATCTTGTTTCAAATAGTTCCATTCGTCTTTTAGAAACCTGTAACAAGTTTACAAAGAATCTAGTGAAAATGATATCTGCATTTTACCATTGTAATAACTTCTCCTTTTATGTACTGAAACCATATGCATAGAACGCCAACTATGTGGAAAGATAAAGTAATGCGAAAAAAGTAAAGCTACTGGTGCCCCACCTTTTGACATTTTCAACAATTGATCTTTTCGAATGAAGTCCTAATGAATCCAGGTGAAGTATAGTCAATCCCGATTCATCTTCCTTATCAGGGATGCAAACTATTACTAGACTCCAGTGCAGACTGAAACATGGTACAAAAATCATGGTGAATACATAAACTCTATAGGAATCTTAAGAAACAATCTAAAGATTAACGAGGCGGATAAGATTTTCTCCATCAGAAAGACAGTAAATGTGGGTTTTGTTTTTAGATGACGATGGCCATTGAAATAAAAATTCAGGTTCTTCTTATAAACTTGCAAATACAAGGGTTAAAGTTTAATGACTTACTCTTCATGTATTGGTATAAATATATAAGCCTTACGGAATAGATCGATACCCTTCCACCACCGCCTGAACTTGACAAAAAAGGCATCCTTGTCATTCCCCTATTTTATTGAAAGGAAAACAAACGGATAGACCAGCCGACATAAGTAACAAGGATAAAAATGTGAATCACAAAAATGCCAATAGTGAATTAATTTCTACGGATCACATTGTTATAGTTGCAATTGAAATATTTAGCTTCAGCATTCATATTTTGCATATGGCTGATCCTTCAATAGACTAGAAAACCATTGACTTTTAAAACATCTCGAGAACTTCAAAATTTTAAATGCAAACCAAACATAATGCAATGGGAAACGATTGCTGCATTTTCTTGAGATAACCAAGGAAAATAATTACCTTGTACGTAACAGCGTCACTGAGCTTCTTGTAGAAATAAGTATTAAAGAAATGACAATCAGCAGAAATTTGAGTCGCTGAAGATACCTGCTGCTGCAAGAACCTAGCCACAGAAAACATAGACAATAATCACATACAAAAATCATGCGATGCTTTCACCAAATTCACAGAAAAATCTCAAACTCGCCAACACTTTGTGTGAACTCGATAGACACTTATTTAATGAAAATAGTGCTACCATAATATAAGATAGCAAAATATCACTCCAAAGTCACCTGATGTAGAAATTCATAACCGGCGATGTTAGAAATTCTTGAGGCGCAAGGCACTCGAGATCTTTAAGACACACTTGAACAAAGTCTGGATCATTTCTGGATCACCAGATGAAGTGAAGTGAAAACATTGATATTTTGAGAGTTACGGTAAGTTAGCCTAGACCAATCTTGAGAAAGATTTACCTTGATGGGTAGCATATATCTTCCTGCAAGCTGTAAGTTTCATCAAATATTAGGTTATATACAGGAAGAATTGTAACTTAATGAGGCTAAACAGAAAACACGTAATTTTTACCCATCAGGCAGTTCAACCGCTTGCTCCACCACCGTTGAAGGCTGAGGTTCTTCTTCATCCACATTAATCACGGTATCATCTGATTTCTATAGAATTATTAGAGAATAATATTAGTAAGTAGGAAAAGCTTAGCGAATGTGTAAAACTAAGAGTGAGGTAAATATTAGATAAGCCAAATAAACGCCACAGCCAAATAGGAAGTTTTTCTTGTCAAGTACAAATCTTTTAAACCGCACAGGCTGCAATCTATCTAAAGAGCAATTATCTGCAAAAATTGAAGTCTTTTTGTAAAGAATTTATTAAAATTGTTGGCTGGAAAATAGCAAAAGTATTAGAATAGGATCCCTGCTTTTACTGGAGTAAAATTTCTAGAAGGCTATAATGAATGCGTGCAAAAATGCAATTCCATGATATATGGTAACAGGAGTAAGCAAGAATACCTTATGGCGCCTTGGACTTTGTGATGGAGATTCTTTCCAGGACCACTCCCTATGAGACAAAGAGATTAGAGAGATTACAATATGACTCATTCTCTTCTGTACCAGAACGGCAGGTCACAATGAAATAGCAGTAACCAGAATTGGTATATATTTGAGAACCCCTTAAGAATACAACAAACTAGTAGCAGAAACAGCAGGAAAAGGAGAAAGGAAATGGACCTAGACGTTTCATGGCCAACGGAGTTGTTGTCATCCTCATCAACCAGAGAATAAGTGGAAGATTTCTTAGACTTTTTCTTCCCATAAATTTCCTTGGATTTCTGATTGCCTTTTAACCCTTTACATCCCGAATAAAACTGTTTTTCACTGTGCTCAGCGTTCCCTAACTTTGACAACATCCCCCACCTGTTGTTAGGCCTTGTTACAGTCTTTTTATCGTCCTTGTGTTTCTTACTTTCACATCCCAAATCTTCTAGTTCTTTACCAAATGCTTTCATTGACTGATTATCCGTCTGTTGACACAAATTACAAAGTTGCATCGTGAAGTAGCCATCTAAAACAGTTTTTAAAATGACATAGTACAGAAACTCCATACTTTGGGTTTACTAAAAAAGGAAGCAAATGTTGACCGTGAGACTTCTTCTGAGTCTGTATTCCCTGGTCTAGAGGTGTCTTTCGAAGTTGCATTCCTTGGCGCAAAGACATCCGAACCTACGTGAAATGTGGCTCATTAAACTGAAGTCAAATTATTGGCAGCTAAAATAGAAAAGCTCCTGGAAACAGTACAGAAAACTGAGACTTTGAGCTTTGCTATTGAGAAAGCAAATACATATACTAGCTATACCACAGGCAGGGCTCATAATAGTTACTTCAACATTGTCCACCAAGAATATATATATATACAATTTCATAGAGATCTTAGACAAGATACCTGAGGTTGTCGCATGCATGAGCTTTGTACTTCTGTCCATATCCTGCAAAAACGAAAGAGTCTTGTGGTTAGCAGATAACATCACAAAATCCATTAATGAGCTCGAATCTAGCTTGGAGGATGAGAGAAAGAACACTAAAGATAAAGAGAATTGCAGACAACAAAAGCAAATCTTTCGCAGAAACTTGAAAAAACCCTCCCCCTTAACCACATTGTAACATTCAATCCTCTCAGATTCCATTAATAAGTTTCTTCATTACACAAAAGAGAGACCAAACAAGCATAAAACAGTAAGCAAAAGGAATGTGAATGCAAACCATTTTCGAGACCCTGCGCCTCTTCTCCTCTTCGAGGCTGGCGATTTTGAAACGGATTTTCTCGCCCTTGTCGGGTAAGCCGGGACCAAGTTTCACAAGGTAGGCTTTGTTACGCTGCAGCTCATCCTCTAGAGCTTGATCGGTTACGGATTTTTGACAGTCCATCTGATCGTCGGAGAGAAGAGTTGACGGCGGCGGAAGCGGAAGCGGCTGAGTTTTGGGATTAACGATCTCTAACTCCGGCACTTCATCTTCCTTTCCGCCGTCGTCGTCCTCCATCATCGTTTTCCAATCAATCTCAAAATC